TTTCTTGCTCTTGATGAAGCATGGTCGTTCCTTAGATAAACCCGTTTGAGTCTCTTGAGAATGAGAAGAATAAGAGAAAAAAAAAAAATATGTTGATAATGTAAAAAGTTTAATAGTAATTTTTTTTTAGTGATAATAAAAAATTTTGAATTTGAATGAGATGTTATAAAAAAATGTAATGAATTAAAAAATAAAAAATAATTGTCTCATTTTATATATTTCAAAATCAAAAAAAGAAAAACAAAGATAAAAGCATAAGAAATGATAACAATGTCAAAAATTCTACGTAAAATTCAATATTCCGAGTGAGTAGTCTTGTGTTGTTTGCTTTCATATATCTTAGTAACTGTTTAGGATTTATATGAATATAGAAAACGCAACATAAATAATACTTTCTCTATCCTCCACTCAGCTCCCACTAGGGCCACTAACACCATCAAAAACACGAATGTATAAAAATTAGAACAGTGAAGGGGGATATGATATTGTATGCATGAAAATCAAATCAATTTGGGTCAAACTTCTTTATGAAAGGTTAATTTTTCTAGTATTGTTTTTTAATCTTTAAACAATACTATATCGAACAATAATTGTCCATTACAATCTCAAAAATAAAATAAATGGGAATGAATGAAAAATGTCTCTATTGAGCAACCCCAGATTGTCGTCCAAGCTACTTGATTTTTTGGTCTGTCTTGTTGGTGGTAAGGGTGGCAATTTGCCCTGATTTTTGTGGGGCTTTGTAAGGATTCCCGTCACGGGGATTGGCATGAAGAAATATTCCTCCTCACAAGACAGGGATGGGGGGCATTTTCTCCTCATGAAATTTCACAGGAAATTTTTCCCGCCCAATGGAGCCCCGCAAGGATCTACATCACTGCGAAAAATTTTAAAAAAGTATATAAATTAATTATATTTTAAATTTAATTTAATTTTTAAAATCAAACTCAAACCCAAACCCAAACCCAAACCCAAACCCAATTCAATAAAAATTAAACTTTACCCAACCCAACCCAACCCATCTCAACCCAACCCAACCCAATCCAACCCATCATTCTCCTTCCAACCCTAATTTCCTAACCTTATTCATTTCCCTTTCTCACTCACGCAGCACACCTCATAGCCCTCATTCACTCTCGAACAATCAAACTCTCACAGTCTCTCCTCACCTTCGACCTTCCCCTCTCTTTCTTGCTTTTGCAATTTTTCCTCACTAACTCTCACAGCCTCACCTTCGACTTTCCCCTTCCCTTTTGGCTTCTGCTGCTACAGATCTGCTGTTGGAGCTGCTACAGATCTGTTGTTGTTACTGGAGCTGCTACAGATCTATTATTGCTACTGGAGCTGCTACGGATCTGCTATTGAAGCTGTTGTCAATCTATTGCTGGAGCTTGGAGCTGCTATCGATTTGCTGCTGAAGCCTAGAGTTGCTGTCGAAGTTGCAGTATCCCATCATCCTCACTCACGTAGCACGCCTCATAGCCCTCGCTCACTATATGTTTGATGCACGCCTCATTAATTTTTACTTATGTTTGATGTAAAAAATATGTATTTTGATATTAATTAGTGGGGAATGGGGATGGAGGGCAAAATTTGCCCCCCGTCAAAAATCTCTGCGGCAATCCCGGTCCTAGCCATTCGCGGGGATGAGGATGGGGAGGGACTCCTCGACCCCGTTGGGCCCCATTGACATCCCTAATTGGTGCCCGGCAAGAAATAGACATGAATATGATATCTCCTTCACCAAACAACTTCCTGTATGCGCAGAAAATAGAAGACTGTAGATATATCGAGTGGCATAGACGCTGAAGTGCTTGGCAAGAACGCCACGAATACCAATCCAATCCTTAGGCTCAAACAGGAAGACACTATCCATTAATAAATCTATTTCTAACATAGGAATTGAGAACAATAAGTAACAATTAAAATATCAATAATGATAACAAAAAATTTAAATGTTTTTAATAAATCAGTTTTGTAAGAAAGATTTATTAAAAATATTTAAATAATTTTATAAGTAATATTGACACTTTTAATATCATTCAAATTGTTACTCTTTTTTTTTTTCCTTTTTTCTAGCAAAAGTGGTAAGTGCCAAAATCAAGCTTGTGTCATATTTGGTATGGACCTGTAAGACAATGACATTAAGACAGGCCCAACTAACAAACTACACATCAAGCTAGTCTGGGCTTTTCCAAGGTTTTTGTTTGCATAAGCTGCTTGGGGGCGCCTTCTTCCCGGACGAACCCTTAGGCACTTGTCATTTTTCTCCTGTTGGGGCCCCGTAAAGATAAATTGCCCATAATTCAGACAATCGAGGGAAAATAATTAGTACATAGTTTGTTTAATAAAATTTTTAAAATTTATTAAAGTTTAATTATTAAAATATAATATAAACATAATTTATTTAATGATTCTTACATTTTATATGATTATATTTTTAAATTTATTTATATTTAATTTTATATAAAAAATATTATCTTTTAATAAATATATTATATAATGTATTCAATATTCATGAACAGACAGTCAATATTTAACAGTTGAAATGGCTCAGTTAGTAACGATGTTATTGTAGGGGCGACAATGTTACGATTTCTCAAAGTAAAGGGACTACAATGTACGATTTGGTTGTACAAGAATAAGAACAAACAAAAATGCAAAGTACAGGGACTATAATTGACTTTAACCCTCTACAATACATTAGAGTCGACAAGACAAGAAGGAGCAACAAAAAGAAAGCATCCTCCTTCCCCAAATTTCATAAAATTTTCTTAATCCTTGCATATGTCGTTAATCTTTTTCCTTCTAGCCTTCCCTCTCTTCTTCTTTCTTCTCTGCAAAAAAAAGAAGCAATGGCAATAGTACTAATTATCGTCTTCCCCCAGGTCAATCAGGCCTTCCTTTAATAGGAAACTTACACCAGTTCAACAACTTGGCTCCTCACATTTATCTTTGGCAACTCTCTCAAAAACATGGCCCTCTCATGTCCCTCAAACTTGGTTGCCGAAAAACTCTAGTAGTTAATTTCTTCAGCAAAAATGGCTAAAAAGGTCTTGAAAACCCATGATGACTTTGATTTCTGTAGTAGGCCTCAATTCCTTAGTCATCAAAAGCTGTCCTACAACAGCTTAGATTTGGCTTTATCCCCATATACTGCTTATTGGAAGGAGATCAGAAACATATGCATTATCCATCTAGTTATCTCATCAAAAAGGGTTGAACTCGATCGTTGCATTCAGGAAGACGAAGTTTCTTAGATGATTGACAAGATATTGAAATCATAAGTTGCTTCAGAACCCATCAATTTGAGCCAGGCTATGGTTTGTCTTACAATTGCCTTCATATGTCGTATTGCTTTTGGAAAAAGATATGAAGATGAAGGGACAGAAATAAGTAGGTTCCATATATAGATTGCATGCTTGTAAACTTCTCTGTCTCAGACTATTTTCCTTCAATGGGTTGGATTGATAGATTCACTAGAATGACTTCTCGTCTTAGAAAAGTTTTCAAAAGAAATGAATGCTTTTGTCAACAACTCATTGATGAGCATCTTGACCCGAAGAGACAAAAAGCTGAACAAGAAGATATAGTTGATGTTCTCCTCAAGATGATGAAGGATCTTGAGTTTACTTCTGATAACATCAAAGCCATTCTTGTGGTAATGTGTTAATTAATTGTTTCATTCCAATGATAAATATTGCTCAGTACTTTTGTTTGAACATTTTTCTTTCTACTTTTAGGATATATTTGTTGCTGGAATGGACACAAGTTCTGCCACGGTGATTTGGGTTATAACCTTTCCAATGAATTAAACATCCAACAGCAATGAAGAAAGTTCAAGATGAAGTAAGTAGTTTGGTTGGGAGAAAAGGATTTGTAAATGAAGATGATATTCAAGATTTACCATATCTGAAAGCCGTAGTTAAAAAAACATTTAGACTACAAAGTACAGCTCGATTACTTATCCCGCTAAAAACAATTCGACACTGCAACATAGGTGGGTACAAAATTCTAGCGAAAACTTTAGTTTACGTGGATGCGTGGGCAATAGGAAGGGATACTGAAGCTTGTGGCCAAAACGTTGAAGAGTTCTATTCTGAAAGATTCATAGACAGTTCCATTGACTATAAAGGACAAGATTTTGGGCTCATATATACCATTTGGCTCTGGTCAGAGAATTCGGCTTGGGAAGAATATATAGGAGCTGCAATGGTGGAGCTTGTGCTTGCTAATCTCCTTTATAGATTTGACTGGGAAATACCTTTTAGGATGAAGAAAGAAGACATAGATTTTGATACAGCTCCTGGGATTACGATGCACAAAAGAAATGCTCTTTATCTTATGGCTAAGGAATGCAAATACTGAAGTAAAGGCATCTAACAATGCAATGAAAATTAAAAGAAATGCTCTTTGTCGTTTGGTTTAATATCATTTCAGATTAACAACCTATAATTGATAGCACAAATCTAATGGTTAATAATGTTTGATTTCTAAACAATTACAAATATTAGCCATTGGATATCCTTAATTAGTTATAGGTTTTTTGAAACAACTAATAAATCAAATAGGGCTATGAGGTTTTCATTTTGCTTTATTAGCTGAAATTCATGAATGATTGATCTTTGCTAATGTACAAATAGTGAGAAAGGATCCTCTTACACAAAGTCATAACCAATTATTATTTATTATGAATTACTCAAATTTATGATTACTTTTAGATGAAAAAACTAGTTGTTTTTTAAAAAATAGATAAAACTTAAATAAATCCTAATAATTTATAATAATTAAAAAGATAAATTAGTGACCAAGTAAAAGATTATTAATGTATTGGTACCAAAAAAAAAAAAAAAAAACACCCTCTATTTCCCTTAAAAATAACTAGTAAAAGATTACATTAGAACCATTAAAGCTATTACTTTCTCATTGTTTCCTTCGAATATGGATATTTTTGCTTGGAAGTATAGTCCAAATGGCTACTTATTCTCTTCTTCTATTGTGTATTGCCTGGCCAAGAACATCATCTCTTGCCGAGAAGGAATGGAGTTGGATTTGGAAAACTCGCACCTTGCCAAAATCCAATTTAATGTTTTATCTGGTTGCTCTGCCACAGTAGGGTCAAAACTTTGGGTTTCCTTAACAGCATCGGTATTGTTGATTTTTCTGTTTGTCCCCTTTGTTCCTTAGCTAATGAATCTAGCCGCCGCCTCTTTCGGGAATTCCTTGATCCTCCGGCTATTAGGGAGTCGCTGTTTCTGCGGATGTTGTCTGAGCAAATGGTGGATGATTCCCTCCTGGATTGGCCGAAGCAAAACTGTTGCAGGAAGGAAGATTTGGGATTTGGCTGGATTATCTTCCCATGCCAACCTCCACTCAGCGGCTTCTACTAGGGCCACTAACACTATCATAAGTACGAATTGATGTATACAAAATTATAAAAGATTGTGGATAAGTTAATTTGCTTTCATGCATACAATATCATCTTGAAATATATATATACATATAAAGAGAGGTGTTGAGGGTGTGATTCGAACGCCATACTTTTAAATTTTAACATGAGAAGGCCTTAACAAGAAAATGGTGGCCACTAAGTCACTAGGGCATTCTCACACACTTTACATTTCGCCTACACACACTACAAGAAAATTCATATTTAGTGACTAAATTATTGATCATTAAATCTTTATTTTTCGTCACAAATTATTATTAGTGACAAAATTTAAGCCGTTAGTAAAACCCTTGTCACTAATGCCTTTAGTGACAAATTAGGTATTTATCACATAAAATAATTTTATAGTGATAAAATAAATTGACATTATTAACAAGTTATTTATAACAATTTTATTCATCACAAAAAAATATTAGTCACAAATGTAATTATGATAAAAAAATTTAGTCATTAATTATTAAAATTGATATTAAATAAAAAAATATTTATATAATTACAAAATAAATATTTTAACAAAAATTTTGTCATAAAAAATAATATATAAATTTATCACAAATGTTTAATAAAAAAATATTATTATTTCAATATTAATCAATTTTGATTAAAATTAATCAAGCTCAATTAAAATTAATCAAGTTCGATTAAAATTAATCAGGTTCAATTAAAATTAATCAAGTCCAAACTAATCTCAAGATTTATTGAGTTTTACATGTTTTATAGTGCAAAAATTTATTTTTTTAAATATTTCTTATCGATGTGAGATATATTTATAGTGCAAAACTTTATTCTTTTATGTGTTTTTTATCAATGTAGGATGTATTGATTAGAGAAAATTAACAACTTTTAGTGACGAAATATATGTTTTAGTAATAAATTATTTGGTCATCATTGAATGTGTAAGGTATATGTGATTAATATTAGAATTTTGTCATAATTGTAATGCATTATAGTGATAATTTTTATGGACAAAAGTTTATTTTATCTCTATTAACATTTTTCGGTGATAAAATATGTTTTTATGATGAATTTTTTTGTTTATCATTAAATATATATGCATTTATAACTAATTGTTTAGATCTGTCACAGTTGTAATTAGTTATAGTGATGATTTCAAAATTCATCACAAAAACTATTTTTCTTGTAGTGACATCATCCATGGTTTCATTTAATTGGTTAGAAAGAACAAAAAAAAAAAATTAAATTCTAAAATTTCAAATAAGAAAATTCATGAAATCATTCTAGAAATGAACATATACATCCCAGATAAGTCGTACGTTAGAGTAATTGAAAGCGCAGCAAGCAATATCTGCAGCTTCTCCGATGGCCAGAATACTCCGACTTCGTTAACTATGCGCACTTGCGCAAAAGAATGCTCTGAGCCTTAGACCATAAAGGAAACCCAAATCTTCAAGTTCTTCGAAGTAGAAATTTAGATCATGAACTTCAATCCAAGTAGAAACTATAGAAACCCAACGGGAGGATTGCGGTTAGGACTGTTAGAGAGACGAGACGCTGCAGATGAGAATGGCAAGTATTTTTCTATTTTAATCGCCAAGAAATGATTTTATTCCATTATTAGTGGTGTAAGCAGGTTGGGCCTGCAGACTATGAAATTAAGCCCTGCCCAACAAACAAACTAAGCATGGTAACACATCAAGCTAGCCTGGGCATTTTCCAAGCTTCTGTTTTTGTTTTCTCCTAATGCGCTGTCCTTTTTTTTTTTTTTTTGAGAAGGGCAATAGATAGAAATGTTAGTGTGATAAAAGGGTTAATGTGTAGGAAGGATATTGAATCCGGGACATGAGATGTAAACCACGAACTGCCCCAAAAGGCAACATGTAGCCATTGGACCACGCATGTGGAATGCTCCTAATGCGTTGTCCTTGTAAGATAAATTGCCCACAATATGTTAGTCAACATAAACGGCTTGTACATTAGTTACAACTCTGAAGATTGAAGAATCAATAAAATCATAAATATATTCAAAACTTTTTTATAATTTCTCTAGGCGGAAGTGATATACATCCCTGTAGCCAACCGCAAAATTTTTGTTTTATTCTCTCTTCATTTATCAAATATCTTCTCTAACCGATCATATTTCTCTCCAGGCGATGATCCACAGCCTCAGGAATGCATCATACGCAACTAATAATTAAGATATTAAACATCCAACAACTATGAAAAAAGCTCAAGACGAGGTTAGGAATTTGGTTGGGAAGAAAGGATTTGTGAACGAAGATGATATTAAAAATTTACTTTATCTGAAAGCCGTAGTTAAAGAGACATTCAGACTACAAAGTACAACTCCATTGCTTCTACCACGAGAGACAATTCGAGATTGCAACATAAGTGGGTACAAAGTTCCACCCCAGACGTTAGTTAATGTGAATGCATGGGCAATAGAAAGGGATGCTGAAGCTTGGGGTCAAAATGTAGAAGAGTTCTATCCTGAAAGATTCATAGGTAGTTCCATTGACTATAAATGACAGGATTTTGGGCTCATACCATTTGGCTCTGGTCGAAGAATTTGCCCTGGAATGAATATGGGAGTTGCCACGATAGAGGTTGTGCTTGCTTATCTCTTTTATAGATTTGATTGGGAAATACCTTTTGGGATGAAGAAGGAAGACCTAGACTTTGATTCAGCTCCTGGGATTACGATGCACAAAAGAAATGCCCTTTGCCTTCTTCATAAGGAATACAAATACTAATACAAAGGGTGTTACCAATACAAGGTTTCATTTGCTTTGTCACTTGGAAGTCGTGAATAATTGATAGTTGGCAGCCTTTGTTGATGTATAACGTTGTTCAGACAATAATATGTATAATATGACCAAGATTTGATGCTTTATTCTACTTAGGAAAATTATACATACACCATCTAAAGTTATATATTACGTTACACATTTACTGTTTTTGTTAGTATACCGTTAAAATTGGTAGTTTTCGTTACTTGTATCGTTAAAAATAACAGTTTTCATTATTTTGCTATTAAAACTAACGGTTTTCATTAATTTAATTTTAATGGCACATTGACGAAAATTGTTAGTCTGTAACGAAATGTGTAACTTTTGGAGGATGTATATATCAATTTATTCTTCTTATTCAAGATTATGCATAGGTCATTATTATATTTACTTGTTTAATGTATCAGTTTAAAAACAAAAACCATTATACTTATTGTATTACCTATAAATTTACTGTTTATATTAAACAACTAGTAAGGACATATATATAATATAAATCAAATGTAGTCACACCCTCTGCACATTTTAAGTATTCATTGGCTAAAACTATTAAAACAAAAGGACAGCGGGTACAAATAGAAAAACATCTATTTCCTTAACAAGATGGCATTTGGATTACAAATGAACATTTGTTTCCCTAACAAATGCCTTGATGCACTAAATCAAAGTAGAAGATTGACAAATGGTAAAAATTATGCAAATTGATTCATGAAGCATGCATTCAAACACAATAGTATAAAAATTGATTTACTAGAATCACTTCCAAAATTTTGACTTTTAGCAACAAATATCAACAACATGGAATCCTTTCTTGTTGAAAAATTGTATCATCGACAAGGTTTTAGTTGCTAAAAGTTATGCAGTACACTTCTCCCCTCCAAAAGTTGCTCCACTTTTAACAACAAGGGGTATGTTGCTAAAAGTAAATATCAGCAACATACCCCATGTTGCTGATATTTTCCGGTAGCCTTAAACCGCACTTTCCTCCCAAATAGGGACTCCATTTTCAACAACATGTCTCTTGTTTTTATAAATAATTATCTTTAGTAATTAATAATTTTGTTATTTTATTTGTTTTGTATATAATTCTTAATAAAATAAAATTCAAGTTTGGTAAAATACATAATAAGACATTAATTAAATGATGTTGTTTAATTTACATTAATTAAACTAAAATTTATTAATGTAGTTAATTAATATCAGCAAATATGGGTGGAAGTATGCAAATGAATATCAACAACAAGACATACATTACTGAAAACTAGGGAATGTACTATTTTTGAACTTTCAGCAACGTGACTCTTGTTGCTAAAAATGGAAAAGGGAAAACCACTTTTGAAAAACCACCATTTTTCCTAAACTTTTAGCAACATGAGCCACATTGCTAAAAATATAGTTTCAACAACGTAACTTTTGTTGCTGAAAATGGTTGAATAAACTCCACCATCGGTCACCAAAATCTGACAAAAAATATTACCAACATAAATCATATTACTGAAAGTAATATTTTAACAACAAGGATATGTTGTTGATGTATCAACAACATACCCTTTGTTGTTAATGTATCAACCACCAAAACTTTTTCAACAAAACTTTTAGCAACAAAACTTTCAACAATAAAAGTTATATTGCTAGAAAGCTTTTATATACATTGCAAGCACTTTCAGCAATATGCTTCCATGTTGCTAAAGGTTGGAATTTTAGTGAATATTAATCTTTTGTATTCATGCCTTATTTCTTTGAGTATAGCAAAAAAATCCCCAAACCACTATTTGATCCAAAGTTCACACAAACTTATAAAACTGGGGAAACTTTACTGGAGTGGAATATCTAAATCAAGGTGTAAAAGAAATTTGTAGGTTAAGTGAGAAGGTGAATGGTCCGGAGGATTCATTAACAGAGTAGGTAAGGATGCTTTTTAAAAGTCTGCTGCTGGCGTCCTTTTATATGAAAAAATTAATACAAACGAGAATTTTTAGAGATGGTGGGAGATCATGTGGCAACGGAGAGCAAGAAAAAAATCTCGACCCACTTATGATTGTTGTTGACTTAATAAAAATAAATTTTTAAATAGAACATTCCAACACTTTGGACTTGGATGTGCTTCTCTGCAAATCTAACATATAGGGCATGATTAGTTTGTAAAAGTAAGCGTCCATAATTCAAGTGATGATAGTGACTCAAGCAAGACAAATTTGGAAAATGACAAGAACGATGATCAGGATTCCAAGCAAGAAAATTAGTGTCCAAAATAACAGCAAGATGATCAAATTAGCTGAATCTCAGCAAGACCCAATTAAATGATTAATCCATCAAATATCCCTACCCTTCCGTCTTGAACGTAGGGAATTTTGTTTTGCAGGTTGAAAAGTTTTGCAGGCATATTGTTTTTTCTGCGCAGACTATGTTGACGGGGGGAAGTTATGAAACTTTCTTGTGGTTGGTATAAATACATTTATCAACAAGAAAGAATCAATCAATCATATCAGTAATAAAAAATCTATCAATTGTGGACAAAAATCAATCAATCGTATTCAACTTTTGTTTTATTCAATTAATAAGGGTCTGATTATTTTCGAAAAAGAGATTGACGAAAAAATGAAATACTTTATTTTATAAAAAAAATGAAATGCTTTTAATTAAACAAATAATGCTTTCACTAGTTTTTGGTAGTCAAAATTTACATTTATCTTAAAAGAGAGTATAGTTTTCCTTGGATAATATTTATTGAATAAGTATTAGATATAACATCTCTCTTAAATTATAATTAAATTAGTATTTTCTTGTGCTAAATTTTATAATTCAATTATTAGATACATTTAATATTTTGACAATTATTAAAACTTGAATCATAATATTACTATACTAAAAATTTTTCATCTGTTAGCCCAAATTGCATTTGTTAAAAAAAAATAGAAAAAGAAAAAGGACGCACTAACTTTCGTATTTCCTATCGTAGTTTACATGTTGAACTAATTGTCCATTTTTCAAAATGTAAAAAATCTCGTGTACTCCAAAGTTCCAACCAATCACTCTTCAAGAACAGGAAACTCCTCATAGGTAACAACATCCAACCTAACATAACAGCAGTAAGAAGACGTTAATAAAAGCCTGACGGTGGGGTAGAAATCAAGGCTGGATTAATATATATTTTTTCAGTTTCCCGCCCGTATACAGGGCTTCACCTCGACTAATCCGGATTCGACCCGGGCGCACACCTGAAAATGGTAAGTGAGCCTCCCAATGAAGGTTGCTGCGTACGCAAGGACTCGAACTCGAGACCTTACTTAAACTGGAACAAGTCGCTTACCACTTGATCCAATCCCTCAATGCTGGATTAATATATATTTTTTCAGTTTTCTACCCGGTATCCAAGGCTTCGCCCCAACTAATCCGGACCCGATCCGAGCGCGCACCTGGAAATGGTGGGTGAGTCTCCCAACGAAGGCTGTTACGTACGCAAGGACTCGAACTCGAGACCTTACTTAAACTGGAACAAGTCGCTTACCACTTGATCCAATCCCTCCTTGGTGGATTAATATATATTTGAGAGCTAGGATCTATACATAGAAAGCATTTCCCCTTCGCCGCCAGTGTTCACAAAATTTTCTTAATACTTGCGTTGAATCACCAAATATGTCATTAGTCTTCTTCCTTCTAGCCCTCCCTCTCTTCTTCTTTCTTCTCTGCAAACAGAGAAGCAACGGCAGGAATACCAATTATCTTCTTCCACCAGGTCCATCAGGCTTTCCTTTAATAGGAAACTTACAGCAGCTCAACAAATCGGCTCCTCATGTTTATCTTTGGCAACTCTCTCAAAAATATGGCCCTCTAATGACCCTCAAACTTGGTTGCCGAAATACTCTAGTAGTTTCTTCAGCAAAAATGGCTAAAGAGGTCTTGAAAACCCATGACCTAGATTTTTGTAGTAGGCCTCTGTTTTTTAGCCATCAAAAGCTGTCCTACAATCGCTTAGGCTTGGGTACATCCCCATATAATACTTATTGGATGGAGATCAGAAAAATCTGCACCATCCATCTCTTTAACTCAAACAGGGCTGAACTCTATCGTCCCAGTCGAGAAGACGAAGTTTCTGTGATGATTGACAAGATATTGAAATCATCTACCCCTTCAAAGCCCATCAATTTGAGCCAAGCTATGATTTGTCTTGCAAGTGCTTTCATCTGTCGCATCGCTTTTGGCAAAAGATATGAAGATGAAGGGACGGAAATAAGTAGGTTTCAGGGATTATATGCGGAAATTCAGGCCATGCTTGTAAGCTTTTTTGTCTCAGACTACTTTCCTTCAATGGGTTGGATTGATCGATTTACCGGAAGGACTTCTCGTCTTGAAAAAGTTTTCAAAGAAATGGATGCTTTTTGTCAGCAACTCATTGATGACCATCTTGATCCAAAGAGACAACAAGCTAAACAAGAAGATATAGTTGATGTTCTCCTCAAGATTATGAAGGATTCCCAGTATACTTTTGATAACATCAAAGCCATTCTTGTGGTAATGTGTTAATTAATTGTTTCATTCCTATAATTAATATTGCTTGGTACTTTTATCTGGACATTTTTCTTTCTACTTTTAGGATGTATTTGTTGCTGGAACAGACACAAGTTCTGCTACGGTGATCTGGGTTATGACGTTTCTAATTAAACACCCAACAGTTATGAAGAAAGCACAAGACGAAGTAAGGAATTTGGCCGGGAAAAAAGGATTTGTAAATGAAGATGATATTCAAGATCTACCATACCTGAAAGCCGTAGTCAAAGAAACATTTAGACTACAAGGTACAGCTCCATTACTTGCACCACGGGAAACAATTCGAGACTGCAACATAGGTGAGTACAAAATTCCAGCAAAAACGTTAGTTTATGTGAATGCATGGGCAATAGGAAGGGATACTGAAGCTTGGGGCCAAAACGTTGAAGAGTTCAATCCTGAGAGATTCATAGGTAGTTCCATTGACTATAAAGGACAAGATTTTGGGCTTATACCATTTGGCTCTGGTCGGAGAATTTGCCCTGGAATGAATATGGGAGCTACCACGGTGGAGCTTGTGCTTGCTAATCTCCTTTACAAATTTGATTGGGAAATACCTTTTGGGATGAAGCAGGAAGATTTAGATTTTGACACAGCTCCTGGGATTACGATGCACAAAAGAAATGCTCTTTACCTTATGGCTAAGGAATGCAAATATTGAAGTAAAGGCATTTAGCAATAGAAAGAAAATAAAAGGAAATGCTCTTTGCTTATTGGTTTAATCATTTTGAATCACCTATAGTTGATACTTGATAGCAAAAATCATTTGAATCTCGTTATGGCAGGAGTAATAAGTTTTTTAGATTTATGTGAATATACAAAACATTAATTAATATTAAAATGAGTTATTTTGACAAAAAAATATTTTTAATAAATTATACATTATTGTACTAAAAAAACACTGTGAAAGCAACATCAAATAAAGCCTCTATTTCCCCTAATTAAGAGTAACAAGTAAAAGATTACATTAGAAGAAACTGTTTATATTATTATTTGGGATTTGGCTGGATTATCACCCCATGCTATCCTCCACTCAGCAGCTTCTACTAGGGCCACTAAATCACTATCAAAAACAAGAATTGATGTATAAAAAATTACAACAGATATGTGGATAAGCTAATTTGATTTTCATGCATACAATATTATCTCGCTGTATTTTTCCTCATTTAAATGGCAAAAATAGATTTTTTTCCATTAATGGTGTAAGCCTACAGACCATGAAATTAAGCCCGACCCAACAACCAAACTAAGCTTGGTAACCCATCAAGATAGGTTGGGCTTTTCCAAGGTTCTGTGGGCCGCAGTCTTCTCGGATGAACCTTTTGGCATTTGTTTTTCTTCTCCTGTTGTGCCATGCAAGGTTAAAGTGCCCAATTTTTTTTTTTTAGTATATTAACTGCAAGTACCATGTATGGTGCTAGCTAGATCTCTTATATATTGTTTAAGATTTTAAGGTCTCCCAAACAAAAACAAAATGAAGAGGCACACCATAGATACATACATATGAATATCAAGAGTTGTCCTAAAAAGGCATAAATATTATTTCTAACAAAACCCTTTTTGGTTCTTTCTTGTCCTTCCTTAATCCTTACTAAAGAAGTGAAGAATGTAAAATTAACATTGCTTATGAAAGATGCATTTGTTCTCATGTACAACTCGGAAATGTATCTTTACTATGTTGTTGACTATGGAGCAATACAGGTGTTTTACAAGCCGGTTTGGAATAATGTCGTGCCATTGAAGGTGTCAGCTTTTGCTTGGAAGGCAATTCAAAACTGGATTCTTCCTACAAAACAAAACCTCCTTAAATGAGGAGTTAATGGAATTACTGCAACACAATCTCAATGCACTTAATGTGGGGATCAAATTGAAGATACAAATCACGTCCTTTTCTCCACTCATCATGCTTGGAAGGTGTTGACACCTTGCTTTGGCATCAAAGCAGCAGCAATTTCAAGAGGCAAGGATCATTTTTTACAAAATGCTGGTCTGTTCAAGAGAAAGAATTTGAAGGATGGTTGGTTAGTGGTTTGATTCACAGCACCATGGTCAATTTGGCTGAGGAATCAAAAATTGTTCAGAGAAGAGGCTTTAGACGAGGGAAAGATTGTGGAACTAATTAAACTTAGATCTTTTTATCGGCTAAAAGCAAAGGGCTGGCCTCATTTAGTAAAAGGGTGCTTGATTGTAGGATTTATGTATGTTTGAACTGAAAGGGATTTATCTGGTATGAGGTCACATTTAACACTGGTGCAATAGGTAAGGCTTTTTATTTGTATTTTTCTTATTTTTGGAAATATATATATTGTTGCAATGGTGTATGGGCTTGAATATCTTTTTACTATATATTTTTTAAAAAAAAATTGATATGTCATTTGGTTTTAATATATTTTACTACATTATTAATTTAACCATTAAACTTTATAGTTTTTAGTTTTTTTATTTTTAATTCAAAATTTTAAAAAATAATTTTTTAATAAATATGTTATGAAATTTATTAAATTAAAATGTGTATTAATTATTGTCTATTAAAAAAAAATGTGATGCATAAGGGATGTAAGTAAGCATTCATTCAAGCCTACGAATAGTTTCCAGTCATGTAAAAACGTAAAAATATGTTTGGTGTGCAGTCATTGGATCTTTATGGTTGAATAGGAAGAGTACTTTGTTCAGAAACACAGAGCATGATGATGGTAGCCTGGTGGAAATGGTTGAATGAATGTCCTATGCTATCACTGGATTACGGGGAGGGTGGAATTTTGTTCATTTTCCTTTATAGATTGGAGGCTAAATATCCATGGGAGTGTTTGAGGACTTTGTTAAGCACAGACTTAGAAATAGAAACGGGTTACAATTTTGTACTCATGAAGGTCAGTGTTGGAGAAGCATTAGAGTCCACTTTATACTTCCAGAATAAAATTGGTGTCTGTCGTCAAAAGAAACAGGCACACAAGTAAGAGTCTCACACTAGGTAGACGGTGAGTTGCATCTGTGAAAGTGTGAACATTAATTGAAGAATCAATCAATCAATCACATATAGTCAACTTTTCGTATGATATTCAGTCGGTGGTGAGTTTTTTTTTTTTTTGTTGAGAAGCACAATGATTAAAGGTATTAATGTTTTAAAAGGGTTAGTGTGTTGGAAAAATTTTGAACTCCAAAATATGAGATGCAAATCACGGGCGGCTCAAAAGGCAGTAGGTGGTCATTGGACCACACACGGGGAATGCGTAGGTGGTGAGTTACATCTGTGAAGATTAAAGAAAGTCATACTTGATAGGCGATGAGTTACATCTGTGGGGTCATTAACCAAAACCACAAAATTTTAATTTGCTTTATTCTTTCCTCATTTGTGAGTATTTTTCAAGACACATAAATATAGAGTGTGTTTTCCAAAACTTAAAATATTATTTAAAAGGAAAATTTTTTCTTACAAATTTAATATATAAAGTGTTCAAAGTCAATCACTCTACAAGAGTACAGGCTACATCTAATAGATAATAACATCGAACCTAACGTAACAGCAGACCTTAAAGGCAGCCTCGAGCAGTGGGGCGGCAATCAAGAACGAATAATATATGATAGTCTACAAGACTACAAGGATATGTGTATTTAAAAGCATCCCATTTGCCATTTTTCATAATTGGATCAGCAAATATGGCATTAATCTTCTTCCTTGTAGCCCTCCCTCTCTTCTTCTTTTTTCTTTGCAAAAAGAGAAGCAACGTCAGTAATACCAATTATCATCTTCCACCAGGTCCACCGGGCCTTCCTTTAATAGGAAACTTACAGCAACTGAACAAATCGGCTCCTCATGTTTATCTTTGGCAACTCTCTCAAAAATATGGCCCTCTCATGTCCCTCAGACTTGGTTACCGACCAACTCTAGTAGTTTCTTCAGCAAAAATGGCTAAAGAGGTCTTGAAAACCCATGACCACGATTTTTGTAGTAGGCCTCCACTGCTTAGTTATCAAAAGCTGTCCCACAACAGCTTAGATTTGGCTTTATCCCCATATACTGCTTATTGGAAAGGGATGAGAAAAATATGCACCATCCATCTCTTTAACCCATCACACAGAGCTGAACTCTATTCTCGCATTCAGGAAGATGAAGTTGCTCGGATAATTGACAAGATATCAAAATCATCAGCTGCTTCAAAACCCATCAATTTGAGCCAGGCTATGGTTTGTCTTTCAAGTGCCTTCATTTGTCGTATTGCTTTTGGCAAAAGATACGAAGATGAAGGGACGGAAATAAGCAGGTTCCATGGATTGTTTGCGGAAACTCAGGCCATGCTTGTAAGCTTCTTTGTCTCAGACTATTTTCCTTCTATGGGTTGGATCGATAGATTGACCGGAATGACTTCCCGTCTTGAAAAAGTTTCCAAAGAAATGGATGCTTTTTGTCAACAACTCATTGATGACCATCTTGATGCAAAGAGAGAAAAAGCTGAACAAAAAGATATAATTGATGTTCTCCTCAAGATTATGAAAGAACCTGAGTCTACTTTTGATTTTTCTTTTGATAACATCAAAGCCATTCTTACGGTAATTTGTTAATCAATTGTTTCATTCCTACGATCAATTAAGATTGCTTAATCAGTACTATTGTTTGAACATTTTTCTTTCTATTTTTAGGATGTATTTGTTGCTGGAACGAGCACAATTTCTGCGGCGGTGATCTGGGTTATGACCTTTCTAATGAAACATGTGGCAATTATGAAGAAAGCTCAAGACGAAGTAAGGAATTTGGCAGGGAAAAAAGGATTTGTAAATGAAGGTGATGTTCAAGATCTACCATATCTGAAAGCCGTAGTCAAAGAAACATTTAGACTACAAGGTACAGCTCCATTACTTGTACCACGAGAAACAATTCGAGACTGCA